AAAAAAAACGAAAGAGTGCCTAAAAAATGAAATGTAATTACAATCTACTCACTGTACTCCACATTCAACTTTAAACACAATGTGTGTGGATCCAAATGGAAATTGAAGGAAACGAGTCCACCGATCTGCTGCGGCGTCTGTGGTGCAGATGTCTCATTGCGTTGAGCAGGTGATGGGACTGCTACAGGCACGGTGATACGAACCTACTCAGTGGCAATTTGTTCCTCTTGAGGCAACATTTCGTTGAACACTTACATAGTCAAGTCCAGATCGTACATCGCTGAATGGGACGCGGCCAGCGGATTGATGTCGCATATGCGCTTCAAAAGCTAGGGTCAACTTTCTGATGAAACATAGTGAGTTAAGGTAGTCATCCAAAGGAGCATGTAGAAGATTGGAGCCAGCTGAACATAATGCACAAAGATATAAAAACAAGTAAAAGTTAACACTGCAGGTAACCCACGAAATCTAGTAAAATGGAACGCTCGTCGCAATGTTTCGTGATCTATAACGACAGGCGCTGAAGAGGTTTCAAGTTCAGCTGCTGCCCCAAACGTAGCTGGAGATACCACTGATGCATCTGATGTTGGCGGAACCGACAATGATGCAGAAAGCGAAAGTCCGGCAGGGGATGCTTCTACTATCTAAAATTTTGGGATTGAGATAAGACATCTCCCTCAAAACAACATTTTATATGAACGGATGGAGTTCTACAAAAATTGAGCCGTATCCACGCCACGCTCTTATTCAATATGTTTCGATTACATAATAAAGCAACTCACATTTGGTGGCAAGGATGCTGGTTGAGCAGGAGAGCTAGTTGGAGCAAATCGTTGTTCATTTTCTTTACAAGATCTTGCGGTTCCACTGATGCAACTTCGTTAAGCGCACGTATCACAATTCTATAAAATAGTCGCCTACTTGGAGAGAAGATGGAAGAACTGATGCAATCCAGCACATCGAGGCTTGTCGCGAGAACTATCACGAACAGCAACTTGGTCTCCTGACAACATGATGAACTCCAGATGGATATGCCCGTAAGTCAAACGTAGCGTCACCTCATTGATTGGCATTAGATGGAACTACAAAAAAAAAGATGAAATTCTTCTCCGATGCTTGTCATCATGACTTGATTTCACCTTTAGAATAAGCGGATATGGAATTTCAACGTTGAATAATTGTGCAAGCACTTTGCACGATTGGAAACGTATCCGACTGAAGAACGAGAGGGAATGCAAAGGTTCGCTTGTAGTTACCAAGTAGTGCACGAGCTCAGTCAGATCCGACTTTGCATTGAACCTCAAGTAAGATATTGGAATAACTTTTGATGTCGTGTTTAGCAAAAACCCACTTTTCCTTCAAAATTGTTGCCATCATGCAATGAGCGTTCCATCGCGTGGTTTCTTGTAGATTCACTTCAAGAGAGTCATAAATCGAGATGGGAAGAGTCTAAACTTAATTACTAGATTTTCAAATGATGTTCTAAAAAAATCAAAAATACCTGTCCAAAATTCAGATTGAAGCGGTCATTGCTTGTGTTACGAGGCCGGAATGACACGATCAGCTGTTGGTCACGTTCACGACCGTATGCAATGACTAGTTTATGGAAAGTATAAGCTTGCACCTGGAGATATTAACAATACGCTTTCTTGCCAGCCAAATTAAATGCTGAAACTCACATTGCACAGCTTGTTATAATGCGCATCGTATGCTTTGGCGAACCTGTTTACAGTGTCATAAATGTTAGAATATCGTGTAAGCCGCTCGATAATAGAAGTAGCAATGGTATCGACAGGGCCGCCAACGGAGATACCAGTTTGCTCATGAACCCAAACTCCGGTCTGACAATTAAAATATCAAATTAGCAATAGAGGATATTTGGTGAAGAATGATGAACTCCCGGATATTGAAGTGTGGGAAAGGTTAGACAGCTGAAGAGAATGAAGGATCCGAATAAGAGAAAAGAGAAAGAAAAGGACGAACAAGCAGATGGATGCACCTTACGTCCCTTCTTGTACGGGCTGAGATCTCGTACGAGTGGGATATTGACCATGCAACATTCCAGCGGCCAGATCACTCTTGCTCTACTATCCAAACGAAGGCAGCAACGAGCCATATTCCGTAGAAACGCAGCACAGCGCACATCCACCACAGCAGATACACTTAAGAATCAATATTCAAAGAATAAAGGGTAAGCAAAAGGGAGAAACGTACTCGGTGATATGGAGAATAAGTCCTCCAACATGTGGCTCCTCTTCAACACTGCGGTAACCAATCCGTTTCTTGTCTAATTCCTCGCAGACACGCATAAACGATATTCGGTCGTCAACAGCGGCAACTGCGGTTGTTAGCTGTCTTACCATTGAAGGCTCCAAGCGACTACTCTAAAACCTCGTCTGACTCTGCCAAAAATCAGTATCCCAGCTCAAATTTGTTCCTCAAGACCGATGAGTATAGAAGGACACCAAAACTTAAATGTGAACAACATCGACAACTTTCAAGCAGATTAATTATAACTTGTCCACAAAAAACTGTAGAGAAATCAAGCTTTAGAACCATGATATTTAAAGGAAGATCTTATTGTGGATGGAAATTAAAGTAGGCCACCTTGATACTTTGTGTCCACACATCGTCGTGCTCAGTCCGACCAAAGGTTCTCGCCTCAATGTCCACAACACCATCAATGGGAGCGGAAATGAGATGCTTTTCCTTCAAAAAAAAAAGGTCAACAAATTCCCGGAAAAGAAAAATAGAAAAGTGAGGTTATTGGAAAAGATTGCAGACCTTGTTTAGCTCCATCATCTGAACCTTGTCATCCAGCGTGCACAATAAATACAAACTCATTTTCACAGTCAAATTTTCATTTGAAACGAATGTGACGACCTGAGACGAATTTATGAGATTATATGTTTATAAATAAACTCTTACTATAACAAACCAGGTAAAAGTGTTCCTCTTTGATAAACTGTAGACAGATACGATCACTAGGAAGAGAATGCACCTAAGAATACAATCATCATCACATGAAGTTTCATTTCAGACCGCTATTAAAAATATTTTTAGGAGAACGAAACTGCTTAAAAGGAGCTAACCTTCTTGAAAAACGGTGCCATCTGATTTTCGTTGATAATGCGCACTTGAAGCGTAGCAACTGACCGTCGGTATCTCTCAATCATCAAGAGGATTCTAAAGTTGACAATAGGATATTATGAATCATTGGGAGAAACTTGAACTTACTTAAGTCGATCTATCCTTTTTCTCAGTAAATCAATGGACTGCCCATCATATAAGGAAGTTTCAAATTCTTTTAACTCAGAAGCGGAGCCGGGAAGAAATTCTAAATAATTAAAATGGTAATCAAGCAACCTTTCAATGAAATCCTGAACAGCTGAAATATGGTAAATTCGAGTCGAAGATGAAAAAAGATAAAGTAGCGACTTAGTAGGTAAATCTCAAATAAA